GTGTGCACTGTCGGGGCATCTGTGTGGTGAGGAGGATGGCGATGTGCCCGCTCAGCATCACACGGGTGCTGTAAAGCCAGTGACTAACGCAGAAAGATCTGAAATCTGGGTCAGAGCTCCATTATGTGATCCAAGCATCAACTATTCCAGCAGCATTAGTACTGTACTCTGAAGAGAAATACTCCAGTAACGCCTAACAGACTTTGGGGACTGAGGCTGCCACCATCTCATGTGCCAATACAGAGGGCACGGGGATGGCTGGAAGATTACACGACGTACATGGAACACCCGAGTGTACATGCACTGTGGATGGAGTCACGCACTACAATCAAAGAGGGAATAAACACAACTGCACACAGAGGGAAAGACTAACAAGTAACCACCTCTGGTTGTCCACTTGTTTCTGGGGAGGACACCTGTACAACGGCACTCGTCCCTGACACACCTGAAGTCGGCTGTGGCTGCAAAGGATTCCATTTCTGTAATCGAGAAGACACAGAGGAAACCCTCCCCGCTCCGAAAGTAGTTGTCTCTAATTGCAGCGTAATCCTCCTGCCCAGCTGTATCCAAGATATCGATCTGCACTTCCTCCCCATCCAGCACGACCTTCTTCCGATAGCTGTCCGCTTTGGTAGGCTCGTAGTCCTCCACAAACTACAGAAGATGAAATAGAGATTCACGTGAAGCTGCTGAAATAGTACAGAGAGGTCCCATGTACTCTTCATTCAGGTTTCCCCGATGGTAAAAACTCATTAATTTAAATTTTCATTTTAGGTAATTTGGTGGCTTTGACATTTGTAAAAAGCCAGGGTTAAATGATTAACTCTAGACTGTTTACAGCTTGAAAACGGTGCTGTTTTCTTCCTTAAAACACCATAACTACAAAAGCTATTACACATATATTTAATCAAATACATAAAAATTCCTTTCAATGTGACACTAAATATAAATTTTCATGCCAGAATTGTGGAAATAACTTGAAAGTAAGTCAATATTTAGGTAAGCATTGAGAGTTGTGAAATCTCTTTTCTAAAATGAACCAAATCAAAAAAGTGACTTATATTACTCAGTAGAGTGGCAAATCATGAACTTTTAGATCTCTCTCTAAACATCTGATTTTTAAAATAACAGTACAACTAAACAACTTTACATTCCCACATCCATCTTCAACTCTGTAAATCTCCACTTGATATTTTTGATCACTGTATCATTGTTAGCATGTAAGGATGTATACATACACACTTTTGTAGGGTTTTTTTTATTAGGTCCTATAAGTATTTTCATTATCTGATATGTTCTTATATATTGGCTCAATGTCTATATCCCTCTACTAGAATTTAACCCTTGGGAGTAGGGACTTGACTATTCTACTCATCACTCCATCTCCCAGAGCTTAGAACATGACTGAAACATGTAGACGCTCACTAAATAATTATTAAAAATACGAACACAGTGTATTTGTAACTATAAAGGCTATGGGACATTCTACCATATTTATATGCTAATTTTTATTTGCATATTTATGAATATCAAATACAAATATTCAGATAGCACATCAGATACTATGGTGAATATTAGTATTTATCAATACTAAATGAAAAGTTAAGCATTCATCAAATGTAAGGTATGTGAACAGTCTTACCTTTTTAAAATTTTTATTTATTTATTTATTTTGAGAGAGAGACAGAGAGAGAGACAAAGAGAGAGAACATGCACACATGTGGGTGAGGGGCAGAGAGAGAGGGTGAGAGAGAATCCCAAGCAGGCACTACTACACTGTCAGTGCAGAGCCAGATGAGAAGCTTAAACCCACAAACATGAGATCATGACCTGAGACGAAATCGAGAGTTGGATGCTTAACCAACTGAGCCACTCAGGCACCCTGTGAACACCCTGTGAACAGTCTTACTTTTGACCTCCTCCATATTGTCAAGAAGGGGCCTGAAATTAGCGATTAGTTTGAAAGACTAGTTATTAAAATGAGTAGTAGGGAAAACAGATAGAACAGATAAATCAGCAATTTCATTTAAAGTACCATTTCAATCTCCTCTCTTTCCAAATTTTTTATTATAGTCCCCAGCGAACAAGATAATTGATGGAAGCGTTTTGTGTGTGACAGAATGCTGATGAGCAGGAAATAGGAGACATCGGGTGGTAAGGATCTGCAGGATTTGTTATCAGGAGACCAGGCTTAGAGCTTGGTCACTCATCGGAGATCACTCTTCTTGGGTTGGGTAATCTCCCTGGGGTTCTGTTTTCTCATCCGTAAAATGGGGATACTACCATACCATGCAGGATTGTTATGAAGATTAAGTAAGAAAGAATAATCATAAAACCCTGCTTCTATTGGAAGAATTGAGGATAAATGCTTAAAATGGATTATCAACTCTTAAATCATTTAGGCTTGATAAGAGCCCTCTGGGGAAAGGCTATACTGCTGTCTTAACTCTAGGGAAATAAAGTCCAACATAAATACAGGAACACAAATCTGTAACCTTCTAGTGATTATATTTTAGGGCCATAGCCTTTACTTGTTTAATGATGAGTATATGCTAAGCCAAATACTACAATTGATTTCTCCATGATTATTAAAATTATTTTATTATTGGGGCATCTGGCTGGCTGAGTTGGAGGTGCATGTGACTCTTGATCTCTGGGTCATGAGTTCAAGCCCCATGTTGGGTGTAGAGAGTAGTAAATAAAACTTAAAAAAAAATTATTATCATTACTATTGTTAAAGTTATCACAGGACACCTATGTATGTTAACTTTCAGTCTCAATTAGGTACTTTACCTACTAGTTCTATTAATTCAAGGTGGGAATCTCCATTAAAACACGTCAAATGAAAAAGCCAAAGTTAGATTGCTTCAAAATAGGTACTGTTTCCAGTTCTGTTTTGTTTTTAAAGTAAAGGTTTTTAAGGATCTTGAATTATTGACTCGTTAAATCAACACGTGTACAAATAGCTCTGAATTTAAAAACAGGAAAAAATGATTACTAGCTTTCAAGGACTTAAGGAATACACCTAAAACAGCACCAAAACTAAGCACAGAAATACTCTCTGAAAGCCCAAACTTCGATATCCATTATAAAATCGGCACTTACCTCATCATACATGAACTGTAGAGTCAGAGCGGACTTGCCCACACCACCACTGCCCACCATGATGACTTTGTGTAAGGCCAAAGAATTCTGACCCTTGGGCTTATTTGCAGCCATCTTGTGTCAAAGAGTTTTCAGCAAAGGCTTAAGAAGAATCTAGAAGAATAAAAAAATAAGTAATGCTCAGTACAGTCTTCCTCAGAATTCCAAGTGTAGGAAAGAGATAAGGTGTCCTTGGGCTTCAAGATACTAGTTTTCATTCTTCGGTGATTTTCAACAAACGGCAAACGAAGCACGCTCAAGAATCACTTATGAGAGAACACCATGACAATACAAGTATGTGACTCAAGGGCATTGCTCCTACAATAGCTAGTTTTCAGTAATGAGCTATGACCAAAGGTGAAAATTTTGCAGCACAACCACACGCTGACGATAACGAAGTATTAGATGTATTAGAATATCATCACACAGATTAGGAAAACAGGCTTACCAATCACTTGGTCTTCATATTAACCTTTATTGGCAATAATTAAAGAGATGTTTCTTCTAAGTCTAGGAAGAAACAACTGACCAAAAAAAACCACAAAAACCAAGGTTGCTGATCGAAAGGCTTACTCACTGTCAGTTTATAAAAGAAGAAACCTCATGCCAGTAACTTGGTAGCAGAATTAGACAGAATCCAATACTGTAGATCAGAGTTCTCAAGGGACATCGTGGAGGAGATGGCCGATCTAACTTAAATCCCTGGACCCAGTGCACCCTCATTTTCTTCAGAAAGTGCATTTGTTTACTGCCCTCACGTGCTTAGTGTGTGGAGACCGGATCCTCCAGAGGCTGGGGTGCTGCTGTACACTAACGGCACCCCGTCACTCTGGCTCCAAAGCAGGTCCCTTGGCCGGGAGGTCACGGCAAACACGGGGTTTGGGTGGAGCCCAAGTGAGGAGCCTTTCTGTTACTAGAGGCTCGAGGGGTTGCGGGTGGCTGCAACACCCTTCCTTCTCAGCATCTTTTGACTTGTTTTGGTCCTGGGACAGCTTTCCCAAATTGCAGCTCACGGGACCACACCTGATCCTGCCTGCCTCTCCGTCCTGTGCCCATCTCCCCACTCGGCTGCATCAGTCCCACGCTGGCCTCCTTCAGTTCTTCAGATGCTCTTCTGTGCCTCTTGGCCCTTGCCATGCAGTATCCTGTATTTGGCATATTCTTATGCAAGTTGGCTAAGACCTCTCTGTTTCTGGATCTCAGTCTTACCTGAAACTCGACCTAAATTATGCTCTCCTCTGCCCTGTGCGCTCATATAGCATCTGATACTTTCCCTCATGACCATTATCATGAGCTGAAATTGCTTGAATGTGTTAGTTGCTTAATATGGGTCTTCTTCCCAAACATACCAGAAGCGGGTTGAGTGCAGGGGCCATAGTCTAGTTGGTTTACTTTATGCTTAATGTGACTAACATGGCTGGGTAAAGTCAGCCACTCAGTACGCATGTGCTGAATGAATAAACAAATGTTCTCAGTCTGACAACCTTGGGGAGTAATTTAGACTGTACTGGTATAAAGTAGCCATTGCTACTAGAGATTCAATCACAAGTCTGGGCAAGGACAGTCTACTGTGGGTCTGTGCCTCACACACTGGCTATAACCCAAGAGCTGGGGCCCTTCTCAGGCTCTGCCCAGAAATCACGCCCATATGACTATGTGCCCAAACAGAAAAGTCTTAAAGAAAGAAACAACTCATAATCTTACTATCCATTTAATATGAACATGTTATACTTTGAGACTGCTTTCAATCTACGTGGAGCATAACTCTGACACTATCCGTGCAATTTCTGATCCCGTTCTTATTTCTGTAACATTTTAGCAGAAGCAGTTTGCACTGTGAAGTGTATTGTAAAGACTCTACACTTGGAGGCTAGCAGTTTTATCAACTCAACAAACAAGAACTGAGTCCCCCCTTTTTCCTGGGTACCAAGGACATGATCATTAGATTGTGAATGACTATCACTGCTCAGAAACAGTGAAAAATATCAGTGTATTTCAGATAACTGATAGCATTATTCAAATAACTAAAAGCCTTAAGTATACTAAGCCTCAGTAGCTTATGGAACATGCTCTTGCTGGTGTTCCTATATAAATCAGGAAATGATCCTCACTATTATGATCCTTACTTGCTGGCAGCTATAATCATTTCATGACTATGTAGCTACCGATTTTTATCTATCTATCTATCTATCTATCTATCTATCTATCTATCTATCTAGAGTGTGTGTGCATGCATAAGCTGGGAAGGGACAGAAAGAGAGAGAGAGAGAGAGAGAGAGAGAGAGAGAATGAATCCCAAGCAGGCTCCGTGCTGTCAGCACAGAGCCCAATGCAGGGCTTGAACTCATGAACCCGTGAGATCATGAAATCAAGCATCAGTCACTTAGCCAACTGAGCCACTCAGGAGCTCCTACAGATGTATTTAAAGTCACAAAACTGAATGAACTCACTTTGGGATAAGATGAAGATGGGTAAGAGAAGGCAGCAGAAGAGATATCCCTGAGACAGCTCAACAGACTTGTTCAGGAGGAAAAGTGGCCACTCAGGAGGAAATCCAGTAATTATACATAGAAACTGGTTGACTGTCAAATCCTGCTGGGAGACTGAGCTGAGATATAAGAAGATAAGAGACATACAGAGAATTGATTACTAGATTTTGGCAAGATGGAGATTGCTAATAACCTTGGGGAAAGTCATTTCACCAGTGAGGTAGGAATCACAGCCTGAATGGGGTGTGTTGAAGAGAAAACAGGAGGTACAAAAATGCACTTTTTTACTCTGAAGATGAAGAAATGTGGCCATAGATGGACAGAGTTTTTGTTTGGTTGCTTTTAAAACATTATTAATGGATGTTCATATGATAATCATCCAAAAGAGGCAGAAACACATTAACACCAGAAAGGATAAAAACTATATCGTCATCTCATTAGATGCGGAAAAAGTATTTGACAAAGTACAATATCCATTCATGAAAAAAACTCTCAACAAAGTAGGTTAGAGGAACACACTTCAACATAATTTTTATTATATACATATATATATATATATATATGATGGTAGCTGTATTTTTTCCATATATATATATATTTTCCATATATATATATATATTTTTTTTCCATATATATATGGAAAAAATACAGCTACCATCATTCAGGAACAAGATAAGGATGTCCACTCACCACTTTCATTCAACACAGTATTGGAAGTCCTAGTCACAGCAGTCAGACAAGAAAAAGAAGTAAAAGGCATCCCAATTGATAAAGAAGAAGTAAAACATTCACTATTTGCAGATGACATGATGCTCTACATAGAAAACCCTGCAGACCACCATAAAACTACTAGAACTGATAAATGAATTCAGTAAAATCGCATATAAAATTAATATACAGAAATCTGTTGCATTTTTACACACAAATAAAGAAGCAGCAGAAAGAGAAATTAAGAAAACACTCTCATTTACAACTGCACCAAAAATAGTACGATACCTGGTGAAGGGGAGGGGCAGAGGGAGAGGGAGAGAGAGAATCGTAAGCAGGCTCCACATCCAGCACCAGAGCTCAGAACTCTGGTCTCGATCTCAGAACCATGGGATCAAGACTTGAGCCAAAATTAGGAGTCAGATGCTTAACTGACTGAGCCACCCAGGCGCCCCTACTGTTCAATTTTTTAAAGTGATGTGCTAGAATAATACTATAGAACCTATTTGGTTAGGGGTGGGTTTTGAGTTTTCAAGCTGTTTTTCTCTGCTTCGTTCAGAAATTAGACACCTACACCATGCTCAAAATATTCATTTAAATATGAATTACCTGATTTTTCCCCCTCCTTCTCTTCCTTCCTCCATCAACAAAGGCACCGCTTTTGGTGCTGAGGCAATGGAGTTGAACTCCACAGGTCTAGGGTCTTGCCTCATGTTTAGCTGAGGTGTATGCATACTGTATGAGTTTCCTGTTGCTGCTGTAACAAATTACTACAAACTTATAGTGGCTTAAAATAATACAAATTTATTGTATTACAGTTCTGGTTGCCAGAAATCCAAAATGAGTCTTAAGGCTCAATCAAGGTATCAGCTGGACAGATTCTTTCTGGAAGCTCCAGAGGAGAATGTATTCCTTGCTTTTTCCAGTTTTTAGAGACTGGCACTCCTTGGCTCTTAAACAGTCTTAAATCTCTTTGAAAAAAGAATTACATCTCTTGGCTACATCACAACAATCTCTGCTTCTGTGGTCATATTGCCTTCTCTTCTACGGTAGTCAAACCTCCTTCCACTTCCCTCTTAAAAGGAGACTTGTGATTACATTTAAGGCCCACCAGAATTTTCCAAAATAATATCTCAAGATCCTTGATTTAATCACGAAGTCTCTTTTGCCATAGAAAGTAAGATTCACAGATTCTAGAGATTAGGATATGAGTATCTCGGGCCATTATTCAGCCTACCACATAAAGTGGGTCAAGGTGCTTCAGACCACAAACCTTCAATCCAAATTCTAAACTATTTTAAACTTTAAGAAGTTTTCTAGAAACGATCAACCTAGTTCTCCAATACTGAATAAGGAATACTCTTATCAAGTAAGATATCAAATATTCTCTGGTCACCAAAAGTGAAAAACCCAATGATCTTCATATTTCCAGAGCTCATTATCTTTAGACTTTCCTAATAAAGGTACTTATTATTAGTCTAGCAAAAATATTAGCTGGTAAATTCTTTAAAAAAAATTTTTTTTAATGTTTATTTATTATTTTCATAGAGAGAGACAGCATGAGCAGGGGAGGGGCAGAGAGAGAGGGAGACACAGAATCTGAAGCAGGCTCCAGGCTCTGAGCTGTCAGCACAGAGCTGGACGCTGGGCTCGAACCCAGGAGCTGTGGGATCATGACCTGAGCTGAAGTCGGTTGCTTAACCAACAGAGCTACCCAGGTGCCCCTCTGACTGGTAAAAGTTCTTAATGAGAGATTCTTTGTCAATAAAGAGATTAAATGAATCATTTACTTCCCCTCCTATTTCAATAGTGCATTAAAAGTTTATGATCACCAGAAGTTCAGTTCTTATCAAACCATTACTAATCACATGTAGGTAGAGGCCAAATTAGTGACTCACTCTCAGAATATAAAGTATT